TGAATGGACACACTTGTCATGTTCCTAAACTTACAGGAAAATCATTCAGCTTATTTATTTTCTTTCTTTTTTCTTTTTGATACTGTGATTGAACCCAGGGGCATGTAACACACCACTGAGCCACTTCCCCAGCCCTTTTTATTTTGATTTTGAGACAGGGTCTCACTAAGGTGTTTAGGGCCTTGCTAAGTTACTGAGACTGGCTTTGAACTTTCAATCCTCAGTATCCTGAGTCACTGGGATTATAGGAATGTGCCACGACAACCAGCTGAAAAGGTAATTAAAAAATTATTTTGTGCCTATGGGAGGCAGGGGAGTAGAAGTTCAGTGTATTAAACAAAGGGGAATAAAGGGAAGGGAGCAGGAATAGGAATAGGAAAGATAGCATGAATTGGACATAGCTTTCCTATGTTCATATATGAATACACCACAAGTGAAATTGCACATAATGTACAAGAACAGGAATGGGATCCTAATTAGAATAAGTTATATTCCATGTATGTATAATACATTAAAATACACTCTACTGCCATGTATATCTGAAAAGAACAAATAAAAATAAAAGGGAAAAATGAAAAGCAAGAGGAAAACAATTGTGATTGGGACTGGGCTGGGGATGTAGCTCAGTGACAGAGCACTTGCCTAGCATGTGTGAGGCACTGGGCTCAATCCTTAGCACCGCATAAAAAACAAAACAAAGAAAGATATGCTGTTCATCTACAACTATAAAAAAATTAAAAATTGTGCTGGGAACTGAACTATACCACTGACTTATATCCTTATCACCATTAATTATGTGGCTTTTTGTAGATAACCTGTATCATAACAAGGAATTTCCCTTCATTCCTAATTTATCTCAAATGCTTTTTTTCTGTGTCTATTGAAATTATTGTGCACATTGTCCCCTTTTATTCTCGTAATACTCAGTTTTGTATATTGAGACAAGCAATAAAATAAATCCTAAATGGTCATGGTGTATAATACCTTTGATATACTACTGGATTTGATCTGCTACTACTTTTGAGGATTTCTATACATATATTTGAATATTTGGGTCCTAGTGCTTTTTTTCTTTTGTTATATTTGTTTTTGTGTAAGAGTAACACCTACCTCATATAATGAGTTGAGACTGTATTACCTCACCAATTAAAAAAAAAGTCAAGAAATGGCATTCATTTTAAAAACATTTGGTAGGATTCACTAGTGAAGCCACTTATGCCTGACATTTTCTTTGTGGGTAGTTTTTTGATTAGCAATCCAACATCTTCACTTGTTAGTTGTGTCATTTGAGGTTTTCTTCCTTCTTTAGAAATTACTTTCTCTTATTCATTTCTAATTTACCATCATGATGGTTGGAGAACATGCTTCTTCTTATTTCATATTTACTGAGATGTCTTTTACATCGTAATGTACCAGTCCACTCTGGATAATATTCCATGTGTACTTAAGAATAATGTGTATTCTGCTATTATAGTATGGAATATTCTGTATACTTCTGTTAGGTCTAATTTGTTAATACTGTTGTTCATGTTTTAACTTCCTTGCTGATCTTCTGCTATTTGTTCTATCCATAATTGAAAGTGGGGCATTGAATACTCAAACTATTATTGTTGAATTACCTTTTTCTTCCTTCAATAGAGTCAGGTTTTGCCTCATGAATTTTGAGGCTCTGTTAATAGAAGCATATGTTTACAATTGAATTATCTTTTTAAAAAAATTTAGTTGTAGATGGACACAATACCTTTATTTTATTTATTTGTTTGTTTATTTGTTTATTTTTTGTGTGGTGTTGAGAATTGGACTTAGTGCCTCACACATGCAAAGTGAGTGCTCTACCACTGAACCATAACCACAGCCCTATACAGTATCTTTTAAATCAGATAAAAACATATTTACAATCCATATTTACCTAGGTACTGGTTCTTTTATATGTCTTTGGGTTGGTTTAATTTACTATCTAATGTCCTTATATTTAAGTTTGAAGAATGCCATTAATATTTCTTATCAGCCAGATCTCCAGCAATAAACTCTCAGTTATTGTTTATCTAAGAAATGTCTTAATTTCTGCTTCATTTTTGTTTCATATTTTATTTTTGTTTTGTTTTCTTTGAGTTGGGGGTCTCACTATGTTGCCCAGGTTGACCGTAAGCTCACGGGCTGAAGCAAAATTCCTGCCACAGCCTCTAGAATATTTGGGACTACAAGTGTGTACCACTGTGTCCAGCTTTCTCCTTATTTTTTAAAGAGTAATTTTACTGAACATAGAATTTTTGTTTCAGCACTTTGAATATATAATTCCTCTGTCTTCTGGCCTCCATTGTTTGCGATGAGAAATGAGCCATTAATTTTATTCATAATCCCCTATTGTTTTGATCTTACTGCTCTCAATAGTCTCTCTTTGACTTTTTATTATGATGTGCCTAGGTTATATGTTTTTTTATGAATCTTATTTGAAGTTCATTGAGCTTATTGGATTGATTGATTATTCTTTTTCATCAAATTGAAATACATCTGACATATTTCTTCAAATATTATCTCTGCCCTCATTTCCTTCCCTTTCTAGGACTCCCATTGCATATATGTTGATATACTATATGGTGTCCCACATGACTCTGAGGTTTTGTTCATTTTTAAATTCATTTTCCTCTCTATGCTACTAACTGGATAATTTAAATTTCCATATATTAAAGTTTCCTGATGCTTTATTCTGCTTGCTAAATTGGCTCTATTGAATTTTTCTCCCCTATAGTGAAGTTTTTCTTTTAATTATTGTGCTTTTCAACTCCAGGATTTCTATTGGTTCCTCTTTATAACATTAGTCCCTTTATTGATCTTCTGCATTAAGTTTGAATTATTATCATTCATTCTTTTAGTTATTTAGATTTTCCTTCAACTTTAGACATATTTGAATTGTTTTGTCACCTGGGTGCATTGGCACATGCTAGTATTCCCAGAAACTTCAGAGGCTGAGGCAGGAGGGTAATAAATTCAAGGCCGTGGTCTTGGCTACTTAGCAAGACCCTCAGCAACTTAGTATAGACCTTGTTTAAAAATAAGAATAAAAAGGACTGGGAATGTAGTTCAGTGCTAAGGCACCACTGGGTTCAATACCTAGTACCAAAAAAAAATTGTTTTATCTAATAATTTCAGTATCTGTGCTTCTTTAAGGATATTTCTATTGATTGATTTCTCTTCACATATTTATGTGATACATTTTCCAGTTTCTTTATGTCTCATACTTTTTGTGGTTGAGAACTAGATTTTAGAATAATAAATCATGGCAACATTAGAATCCAATTCTCTTTTTCCCTAGAGCTTGTTGGTGACAGTGCTTGTTGTGATATTATTTTGTTTTGTTTGTTTAGTGACTTTCTTGAATTAAACTCTGTATTCTTTGCCACCAACGGCCACCGAAATATATAGTTAGTTAGCTTAACTTTCAACTAATGATTAGCTATAGATTTTCTTAAGTGTGTGAAACCAATAAATCTCCTAATCTTTACCAAATAACTCTGGTGCCTATGAAGCTATATCTTCAACACTCAGCCAGTTTACAACTGTGCCATAATCTTTACTTTTTTGTTTATATAAAGCCTCAAGGCTAGCCAGAGGCGGGAGTTCATGGCCTATTTCCTGAGGGGACACACAGCCTTATCAATCTGTACAGCCTTCCAGACTCCTAGGAATGTGTCAAAGCTTTTCAAACTCTCTATGGATATCTAATTCTTCAGCTTTTCCTTTTAAGATTCTTAGTTAGTCTCTTGTTTCCCCAAACTGTTACCCATTGCCTCAGACTTCTTCATAACATATATTTTCCCATCTTTGGGAGAGGCTTTTAGCTTTGAGTGATCAATAAAATACACTTTTTGAATCTGGTCTTTCAGGGAACCACCAGAGAGGTCAAATGATGATGAGTGTTGTGAATGAACTCTGTCTTACTCACTGAGGCACCTGGAATGAGTTTTTTTGTTTGTTTGGGTACTGGGGATATTGAACCCAGGGATGCTTAACCACTGAGCAACATTCCCAGCCCTTTTTATATTTTATTTTGAGACAGGGTCTTGCTTAGTTACTTAGGGCCTCGCTTTGAACTTGCAATCCTCCTGCCTCAGCCTCCTGAGCCGCTGAGATTACAGGCATACACCACCACGCCCAGCTAAAGTTTTATTTTCTGTTTTGTTTTTGTTTTGGTGGTGCTGGGGATTGAACCCAGGACCTTCAGCATGGTAGATGAACATTCTACTACTGAGCCAAATCTCCAGTCCCAATGATTTTTAGTTTCTGACTACCTCCAAGCTGGGAAAGGGGTGATGGGACCACAGTAAGTGAAAATGCCACAAAAGTTACCGCTCTTACCAAAATGGTCATGTTTTTCTTTCTTAGATGCTTTCTGAGTTACTACAAATTTGGATAATTTCAAAATTTCAGGAAAAAATGATATGTCAAAAATTTCCAATTATCTTATTGTTTTGATGAAGAGGTGAATTTTGGAAGATAATTTGTCCACCATTTTCACTGAAATCATCCAATACCACCTTTGTGAGATTTCCAAAGTTCCTCTCAAGAGGACAAATCACAAAATTTCAGTTAAAAATTACCAAAAGATAGAATATATTTTCTTGTTTTAAAATTTATTTTTTTTTAAATACATGACAACAGTGGAATGCATTACAATCTTTATTACACATATATAGCCCAATTTTTTTGTATCTCTGTATATAAAGTATAAGATAGAATATATTTTCTTATCCAAGTTTACAGACCCTCTGAACTTTACTCCCAGACTCCTTCAAGGTCTATGAACTTTGATTTAAGAACCCTGCCCTAGACTGATATGCGAAGGATAAACACAACACAGGACTTATCAGGATCATGACGGAAGTATTGAGAGGTTCAAGTATAGACCCAACTGGCCTTGATTACTTCCTAATTTTCCTAGGGCATTCAGCTATTTACTTAAAGGGTATCAGGCCCTTGATTGAGCTCCCTTTTCCTTTCAGACTCCTCCAAGCTACTCAAGACCAAGACTGAGGCACCTACAACCATTCAAATTCCCTTGGAAGGTAAGTTTTAGTAGAGTTCTATGGGAGTAGGAGAGTTCCAAAATGGTATCTTGGAAATCAAGACAGAAACCCCAATGCCATTGAATGAGGAACAAGAGGCCATTAGGTTATTCAATGAGAGCATAATAGAAAACTATTAGAACCAAAAGAAAGGTAACAAGGAGTTAAGGATGGTGAAGAAGTAGAATCATGAATGAATAATCTTTTTTTTGTGAAGACTTCGAAGCAAAAGAGAATACTGTGATTTGTGTTTTGCTCCTAGTTTGACTTACTCTGTGTATATTACATCCCCTATATGTACCTTCTTTCAACTGACCACCCCTAAGAGTAAGAAACAAAGATGCCTTACCAATAGTACTAGTGGTACTAGTGGTTCATGGCCAGCCACTCTTGAAAACCTAGTAAAAATTCCCCTAGACTAACCTCAACATTTTCAGAGGTCTCTTACCTCACAGCTACTGGCTGCAAGAGAGGCCCCCTGACTCTGATTCCCTATTGTCATAGAGACATCTATAATGAACTCACCCAGGAACTGGACCACTGAAGCGAGTGACTATTTGGGGGACACAATTGCTGGGCCAGGTAAGAGCAATGTCAAGACTTCTATCCTTCCTTCTTGATGCTAAGCTTTGTTTCCAAGACTTTTTACTATGTAACTGTCCTGTGGCATTTAACTCTATAAACCATTAAATATCCTGTAGATGAGTAGGGTAGTTTTCATAGAGAGGAAGAGATATGTGCAGGGATGAGCAAAGTCAAACTGAGGTGAAAGGGGGAAGTGACAAATGTATTCTTAGCTAGTTTCTTATTTCCATAGCAATAAACTTCCCAAACACTCTGAACAAAAATAGGAATATGGCCACAACCTCAGGTAGCCTTCCTAGGGAAATGGACATTGGGTCAGGTAAGGATAATAGCAGTACCCCGTACCCTGTTATTTGAGCTATCAACCAGACCTTTCCCTGGCAGCTTGCAGCTAATTTTTTCCTCTGTAGTCTCAAGGATTCCCAGGTCAGGGTCTCAGAGATTGAAATCCCAAAGAGAAGATTTTTGTTGCACCTTTAACTGATAGTCAGCTGGTATGCACTGATACGACTGTGCTTACTTTTAAAATAATGAATTGCTTTCACATCACTTGATAGTTAGCAGCTTCCCTTAAACCATGAGCTCCCCATTATAATTTGGACTACCATATCCCACCCTCTTGAACTCTCTAGACCACCTCATGGTCCTGCAACAAAATTGTCAATTCCTGGTATACCAAGGGACCTCTAAGACTCCTGATCTGTATCAGATAGCTATTTTAATTAGTTGGTGTGAAATAGTTTGATGACACTCACTCCTAGTCTTTTCCTTTAGCTCTGTTTCATTGAGGATAGACTTCTGAATGTCTTTTCTACCTCACCCTGTTTGCAGAGCTCCCTAACTGTCTCTGAGCATAATACATAGTTGATTTGTGTGCTACCTTTGTATTGCTAACTTTGCTTCAAAGGTTTCCATACTTCGATGGTTCTTCCACAGAAACATCAATTGGAAGAAGGGAAATTAGAATATGCCTCTTTGTTTGGGATGATGAGAAGTTAACTCTGGGAGAAGTACAAGTTCTCAGATATTGGATCCATACTCTACATCATCTATTAAGGTTTTTATTGCTTGATTCTCATCAAGGAGGTGTATTTCTTTGATCTGCACCAGCTTATAGCTTGGGCACTCTCACTCCTAACCAGAACTTTGGAAAACCACATATAAAAGATTTCTAGGACAGAATATCATGGAATCTAGGAAAAAGAAAGCCAGTAACAGCAACAAATCTCAAAGGAAGGAATTCCTTTCCATACCCCTTTCTATCTCTTGATCTAGTCCCTAGATTAAGAATATTATAACCAAAAGTGCATTAGACATCATCCAAATATTTCACTTAACTTATGGGGAAACTAAGGTCTAGTAACAGTCAAGGATTTGACCAAGGTCACTGTTTTCATTTTTTATTGCTGCTGTAAAACGTATCCCAAACCTAGTATCTTAAAACAATATAAATGTATTATCTTACAATTCTAGAGATAAGAAGTCTGACACTGTTATTAGTGAGTTATAATCAAGGACTCAGTAGGATTGCATTTCTTCTGAAAACTTTGGGAAATAATTTATTTCCTTATTCATTCCACTTTATGGAAGCTGCCCACATGGCTCATCTCTCCCTTTCTCCATTTTCAAAACTATCAGTGTAGCATCCTCAACTCTTCCTCTGACTCTGACATCTTATGTTTCCTCCCTCCACTTTTAAATGATCCTTATGATTACATTGAGCCCACCCAGAGAATCAAGGATAATGTCCCCTTCTTAACACCAGCTATTTATCAACCTTAATTCTTTCTGTAACCTTAATTCCTCTTTGTAATATAAACTAATATACCCACAGGTTCTGGGAATTCAGATATAAACATCTTCAGAGAACCATTATTCTACCTTACCACTGCAAGTATGTAACAGAACCAGGACTAGAAGCTTAGTACAGTGGATTCTTTCAGCATATTGGATATGTACCCCAGGTGGCACAGGGGATATATGTTTTGAGAAAGAAGGAAGAAGAGAATTTAGAAAAGAGTATTATGAGGGAAAGAGCATTTGTGACTAGAAGTAACTAATCAGAATCTCATTAAGGTAGCATTTTGATGAAGCTAGGAAGTCCAGGTACTACTTTTTGTTTCCTTCTAAGAGAAGATAAACACTTCTTTCCTTGATCCCATGGTAAGTATGGGGGGTCTGGCTCAAATGCCCAGGCTAATCAGCCATCAACCAGTGGGTCTGGAAGAATTTGTTTATACCTGGTGTATAAGACCTTTCCCAAATCTTTCTCATGGCACTGGAGTTTTGTCTCCTTGACTAACTAAGAAAGTAAAGAGAAGAAGGAAAGTGGAAAAGAAAAAAAATCCTGGTTTAATCTAGACCTATTCCTTACAGTTTTTTGCCTTATTTTTCAACCTTATATCACTTGGTCTTGTCTTGCATCCTAGGAAGGGGTCTTCCTATCTTTGCCATCATCCTCATCATCTCCTTGTGCTGTGTGGTGGTTATCACCATGGTTTATATCATGCTTTGCCGGAAGACATCCCAACAAGGTGAATGACTTGATTTTTGGGTGGTTTTTACTTATTCTTTCTTTCTGGTAATATACTCAACCTCTGTGTCAGACACTGTGTCAGGCATTTCATACTATTGGAATGAGGGTAGAGGTGCAGATAGACATATGTTCATGCAAACAATAACATAAGAATTAAGGAAATTAATGCAGAAATATTTGTCATCTCCTTGTAATATGTCACCTCATAAGGATGCAAAGGAATTTCCCTCAAGTTGCTTATAATTTATATAGGAAATTCAAGGTTGAAACATTAAATTTACCAATAATAAAACATAGAAATAAAAATTATGGACTCAAAACCTGGAAAAGACAATAGTACAATGGTCTTGAGAAGAGGAGAGTCATTTAGGGCTCGAGTAATTAGCAAGGTCTTTCAGATAGCAAAACTTGGACCAGTCCTCGGAGAATGCAAATATCATGTAAGGAGTTCAAATGTAAAACTCAAAAAGACAACTGAGTGTGAGGTCATCAATAAAGAGAATTGGAGCAATAGGGAAACAAGGAAAAATAAAAGTTCAAAGTCTAATTAAAGAAGGCTTTGAATGCCAGTCTAAATGATTTGGACTTTCTTTACTAAAAGCTTTTTAGAAGTACTAAAAGTCGTCTAAGTTTTTGAGCAGAGAAGTGGCATGAGAAAGTACAGTTGTCAGAGTCATTTCACAACAATGGGCCAGCTGAGAAGGACAAAGAGAATTACAATATTTGTTTATAAGAAAAACCTAGGTAGAACTTAATGCCTGCTGTATTATGGACCTGACCCAATATTCATTAGGATTAGTTTCTCTCTTTCTCTGCATTATCCTGTACTTACAAACAGCCTGCTTTCTATCCTGCATCTCTTTAAACAAAAAGAAGGGAGACCTGAATATCTCATTCTCTGGATCTCAAGTGTACTGGTCTTGGCCAGTAAGCATGGCTGTGACCCTTGAGGATAAACATGGGAGTGGAGATACCTCAAATCCCAAGAGCCACAACCCAAGGAGCACTAAAAGGAAAGTATTCATCATAGTCTTGATGAGGCTGGGCATAAATAGTAACCACATTAGCCTGTTTCTTTCTCAAAATGTTGCATGGCTCTTCAGTGCTAAGGGGATAGAAGTCAAAATGTAAAATTATATTCAAGACCCTCTGTGATATGCCTCTAGCCTGTCTTTTCAACATGCACCATTCCCTTTTACCTATCCTCATGACCAGGCACTGAAGTCAAACAAATAGGCCGTAATCTTCATACCTTTATGCTTTTTCCCCTTCTTTGTTTACCTTCCCAGAATGCCTGTTTTCTACCTCTCTATAAGGGAGACATCCTCAATGTATCAATTCAATTTAAAATATAGTTACTGACACCTACTGTGTGCCAGATTCTGGGAGTATAAAATAAAAAAAGACACAACCCCTATGGTGCTGAGTGCCCATGCCAATGGGGGAAGTAGGACATGGAAATGTTAAGGCTTTACTGAAAGGCAGAAGGCTCTAGTCTTACCCTGTTTGTTTACTTATTTGTTGTTTTTGAATGCATGCATTCCCAGTTGTTCCCCTGAAAATTATAAGCACGTAGAGGGTAGTATCAAGAGATATCCATCTTTGTACCAAGCTAAGCCTTTGAGCCTGTGGGAATATAGGGAAATTTCCCTCCACAGACACTAGGGGGCAATGGTTACCTATTCTAGGGCCTTTCTAGGGTATGGGATGGGGGTGAGTGCACTTGGGAGTGGCTTGGGTCATAGTCCCTGACATCAAACTAATCCAGCCCCTTCTTCCTGGGCTGTGGCCCAGAAGTCAAGTTTCCCACAAGGACTCTGAGATTCTTGGGTGGAGAGCCTGTCGAGTCCCAATGATCTTCCCCCACCCACACCAAGCAACAACTCCAGTCCAATATCCTGAGTCAGAGATGCCAAATAGAACAGTGATCAAGCATGCTTCCCCTTCCTTTATCTGACAAATCTGCATCCTTGTGCTTCAATGTATCTCCCCAATACCTCCCCTAGTTGGAAATCTGAAACATAGAAATCCCCCTCTGTTCCCTTCCCTCAATTTTTGACTGGTATCCAGAGTCCATGCTTGACTCTTGTTACTTGTCCATAGAAATTTCTGACCTGATTCCTCCTTCTTTTCTAGAGCATGTCTATGAAGTGAGCAGGTAAGATAGCATCTCCTTTTACATCCTATAACCTCTTCCCTGTCCTCAGTTCTGTTGGTCATTGACAGGCAATATGGAGGAAGGTGGGATGTGTGCCAAAGATAGAGCTAGTCTTAACACCAATGTCCTTCAGTGACAGGACACACCTTTATATCCTCTCTGAGGCACCTTCTGATGTTCTGCCCTAGCTCACTGAAAGCACAAGATGATTTAGACCTACCAGCCTTCTGCCCCTAGAATTCTTAGGTGGCAAGAGCCTCAGAGTCAGTTGGTAAGAACTTAGGCAGATGGGTGAGAAACCAGGGTGTAAGCTCCAAGTCACTTCTCATAGAAGGTGGACTCTTGGACTTTAGGATGCCTTCCAGTGAGGCCAGTGACTCTGGAGAAACCATGAGAGTGGCCATCTACACCAGTGGCTGTTCCAGTGATGAGCCAGCTCCCCGGGCTCTGGACAACAACTACTCTGACGATCCCTGCCTGGGCCAGGAGTACCAGATCATCGCCCAGATCAATGGTGACTATGCCTGCTTGCTGCACACAGTTCCCCTGGATTATGAGATTCTGGGCACTGAGGTTAAGAGTGTCTGCTAACAATCCCCTACTAGGTCAAATTCTGTTGACATAATTAACTATTCAGTATTCAGTCCCTGCCTTCTGCATGCCCCCCTTCTCTGCTACCTCTCTTCCTGGATAGTCCAAAGTGTCTTTCCTGCCAATGTTGCGGCTCCTGAGAGTGACTGGTTTGCCTAAGAATTAGCCATATGCATCTCAAGAATGCTAGCTGTTGAGTTTGGCCCTGAGCCCTTCTAGTATCTCTGCCTGGGTTTTCCATTGCTCTTCTCCAAACACCAGTGAAATGCCAGCACTAGGACTTGGTCATCATGTCTCCAGATACCACCAGAAGACCAAAGGAGGCCCAACACTGACAGCTCGGAGAAGGAGTTGCATCCAGGATCACTGCCCTTTCTCCAGGGATAGACAGCTTTTAATTGAGATTGTCATGTCACAGGCTGGGGTTCAGTTCTGCTCTTGCCCTGTGAGTCTAGTGCTTTGGTATTCCTTTGGTGCTCAATAAATATAATCATGATAGCGACCTCAGTTGTGTTGTTCTCTCAAGGTATGGTACTAACTAACAAGAGTGATCAAAATGGTTGGGGCCTGGCCTCTGGGATTACAGGTTACAACTTTGTATTTTTGATCTTCCCTCCCATCATGCCACTCCTATTTTACTCCACAGATAGCCCCAGCTGGGACACAGTGAATCTTTGGTTAAACAGGACTCTACTGGTTTCCATTCCCATTCTTGTCATCCTGTCAGCTCTACCTGAATGACTTTTCCTGAGTCAACTGAAATTTTGACAAAGAAAGAGCTCTACTTCTTTATCAGGGAACTATGGATGGAGAGATAAAAGGATTGCCTTCTTTCCAAAGTATGTTTATATCATCCCTAAGGATTTCTACTTCTTTAAATCCTAAAATTTGGGGGTTTTTATATTTTGCATGGGTCATTTTCAGTAGCTCCTGGCCCCTTCTTATAATGTGGAGTGGAGGTAAAAGCATTGAAGTCTTTCTCAAGCACGAATGGGACTAAGTGTGTGTGTGTATGTGTGTGTGTGTGTGTGTGTGTGTGTGTGTGTGTGGTGTATGCACCTTTAAATCAAGCTCTCCTGTAAGAGCATGTCCTGGGCCATATCTACACTGCTTCTTTTTCCCCATGTAATTTCATGTGAAGTCAAAATCATTTTACTCTTCTTGAAACTGTCACATTGCTACTTCTCGTTCCAGGGTCAGGTCAGGTTTAGCAAGAGCTGCTTCCCCTGTGGGGTGATTACAGAAGTCAAAATAGTACACAAAAGTGAACAAGGAGGTGGCCTCCCATTTACCACCATGCAACCTGCCAAGTCCATGGTCAAAACCTCAGTGTTTTCCTCATCCCTAGATACTTGATTCACATAGCTGGTGAAAGGAGCAAATTCTTCTTCCCCATCACACTTATAAGCCTCTGAAACAGGGCTCCCCACCCAGTGGAAACCTCAGCTTCCTTCATGAAACAGCTCAGTGTACAGATCCCACAGCCTTTGAAAACACCCATTATCTTTTTCTACTACCTTAAAGAGAAAGGAATTGCTGGGGTTGAGAAGACAATCTTTGTTCTATTTCCACTGGTAAAATGAATCACAAATTCAGGAACCCCTCCCCAACCCCATAGGAATTTTGAAACTTCAGGAATATATCAGAGTTTCATCTTAAAGAACTTGGAGATTACTGATCCTAATAATCCCATATTAAAGATGAGGAAATGAGGGCCAGAGAAAAAAAGGGACTTGTCTAAAGTTACACATATACATCAGTGGTAGAACAGAGACCACAAGTTAGGCCGGTAAATTTCTAGAAGTATATATTTATTGCAGCAGGCACCTTCTGGAGTTCATATTTGCCCCCATACTAAAAACTTTTTCCATATATGACAAGCCACTAAGTGATTCCTAGGTATTACAATATGGGATCTATCTTAGGTAACTGTCTGGTCAGGGAAAGTAGAAGAGTGAAAAGAAGGCTCTCTAGAAGGGAAGGAAGGTATGAAGTTTGTCTAGGGAAGTTTCTCAATTTTTAAATTTTTTTTAGTTGTTTATGGACCTTTATTTTATATTTGTATGTGGTGCTGAGAATCAAACCCAGTGCCTCATGTATGCTAGGCAAGCGCACTAACACTGAGCCATAACCCCAGCCCCCTCAATTTTTGTTACATGTAGTATCAGGAGAATATCATGGAATATCATGAGATATCCCATGGGGAATAAAAGTTCCCCTGGACAACTGGGTTTGGTGGCAAATACCTGTAATCCCAGCTACTTGGGGGGCTGAGGCAGGAGGATCACAAGTTCTAGGCCAATCTCAGCAACTCAGTGAGATCTTGTCTCAATATTTAAAATAATAATAATGATAATAATAATAATAATAATAATAATAAGAAGAAGAAGAAGAAGAAGAAGAAGACTGGGGATGTAGCTCAGTAGCAGGATATTTGCCTATGTTTGCCTAGTATATATGAAACCCTAGGTTTAATCCCCAAGACCACAAAAAAAAAAAAAAAAAAAAACAAGAAAATTTCAGTGGATAGGTAGGCATAGGGAAGGCTTCATTCTCTCTCTCTCTCTCTCTCTCTCTCTCTCTCTCTCTCTCTCGGTGCTGGGGATTGAACCCAGGGCCTTATGCATGCAAGGCAAGCACTCTACCAACTGAGCTATATCCCCAGCCCTCATTCCATATCTCTGTCTTGGAGATTCCCAAAGCAAAATTAGAATATTAAGGACTCTTAAAAATCCTTCAATAAAGTACCACATATCTGTATATTCAAGTAATTCTACAATTTATTTGCCCTTTTGTTTTCCCCCTTCCTCCAGTCTTTGGCTTCATTTCTCAGGAAGAAAAAGCTCTCCATGTTGGCTATTCCCTCATATACTGTATAAAATTGTGGTTTCCATAGTTTGTTTGTTTTTTTCATAGAACCCTGGGTGACACTTGGCACAAATATCCAAAACTAATCAACTAAGTAGAAAGTCAATCAATCAGCAAACATTTATTGAATATTTTCCGTAACCAAAATATGGGGTTATGGTAGGGGAGATAGCAATCAAGGAGATATATTCTTGTCTTCTAGAAGCTCAAAATATAGTGGGGAATTCAAGAGTAAGCCTTGGAAAAGTTCACTCATGATCCAAAAGATTATATTGGGTGGAATGAGATATTGGGGCATATAACAGGACTCAGGCAAGGAGTGCTGTGCAAGTGAAGAAGGGTAAGCATGGGATGACTTTCAAAAGTCCCTGGGGAGACTACACTGTGGTGGGGCCAGGAAGTATGGGAAAGAATTAGGCCAAGAGAAATGGAGAAGTTGTTTCAAGAAGAGGTTTGAGGAAAAAAGGAAGAGGTAGAAAAGCCAGTCTGTGTTTAGAAGACAAGAATGAACATAAAAAGAGTGGATTTCCATGCCCAGCTTTCTCATATAACCTGTAGTATTTGATTCTGGTGTCCTGACTGTGACACTCTGGAAGGGGAATGTGAAGAAAGAAGAGAATAACAAATCAAAGAGCACGTCTATCCCTGTATCCCTTATGTCTTTTCAAGACTATTGTGTGCTCCTAGGCATTCTCATGATGTGTGTAGACGAAGACCAGGGCTGTAATTACCAGAGATGCTGCACTTTCCCCCTGAAACCCTCAGATGCATTGCTTGGGTTCCCTCAAAGTTACAAAAAAATAAATTAGGAGACCTTGTTGTTTAATGAGCATTCTTACATCCACTTGGCAGCAAATATGTTGTATTCCATCTGCCCTGGTATGGAGCTGCTAAGCATGTGCCGCACTTGGGGTATTTGACAAACTGACACTCTACCACACGGAGTGTCCAACTCAGCTTGTCAAATACACGGAGCGTGGCACTGCGGGAGGCCAGGCCAGGGGCTTCCACGGGACAGAGATCTTCCTGGAGGATGTGGCCCTGGAAGGAAAGAGAGAGAAAGCACTAGTGAAGTCACATCTTTAGCCTCAGGAAAACTGCAGAGGTCCCTCTTCAGGGAACAGCTGCAACATCAGAATAGAGAAGTGAGCAAAACAGGTAGAAGACTCCTAACGAGAAAAGAGATCCTGAGTGCTTAGCTGGGAGATCCTCTGGTCTAAGTACTATAGATCTGACATTTCTATGTGTCCCCAGCTTTAGTGAGCTCCTCTACACAGCAGAAAGGAGACAATTTGGTCATCATTCTGCCTTCTTGACTAGAGGAAAAGATCAGGTCCCCTAGTCAGTGTCCTTGCTCCCACTTCTTCCCAATACTCCCAAGCTGTATTCTCACAGTGTTTTGCTTATGCACACAGACTTTGAGGTTAAAAATGGTTACAAACACAAGTAATGTGAGGAAAAATGTTTCTATTGGTAAAAGTTGCTATGTTAAGTATGAATTAGTTATTCTAAGATTGGAAATTAAAGTTTTTAAAGTAACAAAAAATGGGCTCAAATCCTCTCTAATGTTAACTAGCTCAACAATCATGGATACATTATTTTTCCTATCTGAGCTCTTGTTTTCCACAGTCACAAAGTATGTATAAGTATAGTACCTACCTCATAAAGTAACTTTAAGAACGGCCTAAGATAATGCATGTAAAGTCCTTAGTGTGTGTGTGTGTGTGTGTGTGTGTGTATAATGTTCAAACCGTGGCTCTGCTACCAGAATTAGAGCAAGAACTATTAGCAATTGCTTTAACAGAACTGGGATATCTTGGGGAAGAGACTTGCTAAAGGTCATACAATAAGTTACTTGCAGTTAGGGGTTATGTCCTATATCACACTCTTGTGCCCTCAAACTTTCCTGCTTGGTCCTTTTACCTCCCTGCTTTATATATCCCTCTGGATAAGAGGTGAGCCACATCAACAGAGCAAAAAAAGGTAGTAGAGATCACCATATGGCACTGAGATCTTGAACGCAGAACTACCAGGGAAGAAAGAAAGCTTCCAGGAGCAGAGTCAGGCCTGGAACCTCTTGGAGCATCCCCTTGGCAAAACCAAGATCCTGTTGCTAAAAATGCCAAATTACCAGTGTCAAATTCTTGCCCTTCCCAGCAGTGGCAGTTGATCTATGAGAAAGTAACTGTTCTATATTAAATACTGGCATCAATAGTGGCAAACATCTAAAGATTACCAGGAATGAAAAACTGCCCCAAGAGGGCTGGGGTTGTGGCTCAGCGGTAGAACGCTTGCCTAGCACGTTTGAGGCCCTGGGTTCAATCCTCAGCACCACATAAAAATAAACAAAATAAACTATTGTGTCCAACTAAAAAATAAATATTAAAAAAAACTGCCCCAAGAAGTTTTTCTACAAGAAAGTACTCAGTGATATTTCCACAACTATTTTAGTGGAATGTAAGAGGGTGACACATCCCTCCAGACTGATATGTGGGTGGGACCTCAAAGCTAAGGATCTAAACAGTCTTTTCTACCTCCACACTTCCTTCTCTACCTACCCAATCCAACCTAAACCAATCAGAAGTGTGGCTCTCAGCCCAACCACAGTCATGGTAACTGTATATGGCATATGAAAAGAATCAGACAAACTTAGGTTCTAATGTCTTGAGCATCAATTAGCCAATGTGGCTTGGGCAAGTTTTTCTTTGGGCTTCATTTGTCTTCTCTAGAAATGGAACCAAAAAAAAACTTACCTTACAGGGTTGTTGGAAAGTGTTTGGTGAGATTTTCAGAGCCTCTTACATGTGATCAGACTTTGGCTCAGCCACTGGAGCTGTGGATGGAAGCTAGCAAAGGAAGCTAATTACCAGAATTTGAGTTGGGGTGGCAGGGGGAGAGAAATGGACTGGTATCTTTCTTCTGTCATCACTTCCATCCTGTTCCAGCTGCAGTGAGAACACCTGGATAATCTGGAGATATTCACAGCTTCATGAATGCCACTTCTGACTTCATTCACCTCAGGAAACCTGGAAGAAAAGTGTGAAAGGGGCTAATGATTCCTGGTATACAGGAAGTTGAATAGTTTGTGGACAATATTATCTCAGCATTGATGGAAGAAATTAAGAGGCTGAGCTAGAATTAGACTGGTTTCATTTCTACTCTTGCTGCTCTAGTCCATGCTTCTCCAATTGAGTTTTCGTAAGAAAAGCAGGTTCACTTGAGAAAGACTGGCCAGACTCATAGAAAGAAGAGATGGATACCTACATGGGGTGATACTGAGGGACTCTGAAAGTTCATCTGTTGGTACATTTATACTATCTGAAATGTCATCATTTGTCCCCACTGAAATGCAAAATTTTCCATTAGAGAGCTCCACAAAGCCCCTATTATTGAGGTCAATTTTGGTGAAGGGGATTGGAAAAGATGAGCCTGAAAGAGAAAGTGTAGGTAGGCTCTGAGGAATTCTGAATTCCCAGAGTGAACCAAGAATTTGTAAAAGGAGTAGAGTAAAAGAAGTCTGCAGGACCCTGCCTAAATGAATTAAGCAAAGTTCAGAAAGTCAAAGGTCCTGTGTATTCTCTCATACATGGAATCTAGAAAGAAAAAAATGAAAATAAATTTGGGGGACATCTTTTGAAAATCGAAGGGAGATCAGTAGAGCAAAGGCATGGGGGCAGGGGGAAGGCGGGAGGGAAAGGAGAAATACTGGAAATGACAATGGCCAAATTCTATTGTTATATTGTGTGCATGTCCAAATATGTAACAACAAATCCCACTTTATGTACAACTAAAATGCACCAATAAAAATTATGGAAAAAAATCCAAACTGCATCCAGTATAAGGAGGCCCACCTGGGTAAGTTACAAGGCAACTCCTGCTTCTTGGTGTCTCATTTCTCCTAGGGTAGAGCAGAAAGAGCCCTGGCTTGGGAATCCAGTCTCAGCTCTGCTACAGTTTCTTTGTGTGACCTTGGGAAAGTCCCTTCCTTCCTTCCTCTCTCTGGATTTAAATTTCTTCTATACACACCCAATCTCTATGGGTCTGTTTAATTCCAAAATTTTAGTAATCAAATATAAGACTAGAGGAGAAAGAGACCTTCATCTTTGAGTCATAACTCTCAGAGAGTACTATATGGATCACCACCAGCTCTCCTCCTGGATGTGTTAACCCTGCCTGGTAGTATATATTCAAGCATCTCTCCCATTTCTTTTATCAACTGAGGAATGGCAATTATCAAAAAAAGGGATATAAAAACTAAGTCTTAAGATGCATCCATCTAACCTTTCTCAGCCTCCTCTTTTTGCAAAAGAAACATGGGCTGGAGAAAGGACTTGCCCAAAGATAAATATTGGGTAAATGAAAAACCAGAACTGTCAGATTTCCAGAGAACTTTTGCCTTTCATATGACTGTCTCCTAAATATCCTTCTGTAGAAAATACACCCCCTTCTCTCGACCACTGGAAACTTCAGGATAGATGATCAATAGAAACTTTATCTGTTTTACCCTTCACCCCAAATCCCTGATGGGAATAAGGAAAATGGGATGGGCATATCCAAGCTACCTTTGCCTGCTATGAACACTGCCTCAACTTGGGAATTTAAAGAAGGGAGCAAATGGATACTATACCTGTCACTGGAGTGGTGCCTTGGTCTCAGAGAGGACACAGGTTCCCTGGTGCTGAGCCAAACTGTAGAGGCCAGAGGGAACTGGTCTTTATGTTGTGAGCAGGAAGGTCATGTGTTTTGAAGGGCTCTTGGTGCCTTGAAGAGGAAATAGAAATGAGGAAGATAAGGCTGAGGTTAGCCAACGGAAATCTGGATGCAAAATGACAAAACAGGGCTGTTGTGAAAGGGCTTGCTACTGCAGCAATAGTCCCTGCTGCCATGCCCCACCTACTCTCTGCCAACCTCCAACAGACAATAGCTGTCCATGCTGTAGAAAGGGAAAGCAGAAAGTGACTGGTTGTCCTTAGTCTCTGCCTGTAGGGCAGGGAGTTTTTCCCAGAGTAATTGAATGATTTCTGGCCTGTCAGAGATGTGACATTATCTAATGAAATTCCCATTGTCAAAACTGAGAAATTTAGCCAATGAAGAATGAAAGAAAAGTCCCAATATCACAAAGCAAGTTAATGGCAAAGTTAGAATTTTATCCCATTTCTATAGACTCCAAATCATGTGGTCTCTTACTATGTCAAAATGTCTTCTGCTCCTGGAATACTCCATTTACTTCTAACTTCCCTCTTGGTACATAGAACCAACTGCATAATTTGCAGAGCAAGTACAAATCGAAAATGATAGACCCCTTGTAAAAATATTATGAATTCAGCTTGTTGAAAGCAGAATATTAAGCAAAGTGTGGTCTCCTTCTTAGATGGAGCTCTGTGAAACTGCACAGGTCATATGCTTATAAAACTGATCCTACTGGCATAGCTATGACCACTTACAGAAGGAAAGAAAAGGGAATTTACATTTATTTACTAGAGCGCATATTATGTGCATTACATGTTATCTCATTAACTCGATAACCCTCTGGTATAATAATATTGTTATCCTTACTTACAGGTGATCATACTAGTCACATGGAAATATACTGAACAAACAAAACTAGGACATAATGGAGAAGGCAGAGTTCCTACTCAGTGTTTCTTTCTTTCTTTCATCTTTCTTTCTTTCTCCTCAATACTGGGGATCCATTATCTTTCTGGCATGAATGGGAACTTCCCAGGGATTGTAATATGGGCTCTAGGAAACTATTTACTCTCAGGGGCTTTACCACTGAGCTATATTCCCAGGCCTTTTATCCTTTATTTTGAGACACAGTCTCACTGAGTTGCCATGATTAGTCTCAAACTTGCCAAAGATGGACTGGAACTTGCAACTCAGCTGCCTCAGCCACACCCAGCCACATTAAGGTCTGACTCAAAATGTTAAGCTTTTTTTACTCTTCCCACATTGGATACATGAAAGGGAGAGGAAAGTAGTTGACATGGAGAAAGAAAAAAATAGTATCAACTCCTTAAATTCAAGTGTGACCTTCAGGCCGAGTAAGGGACATGAAGATCATAGGAAGAAACTTGAGTTATTTTTCTAGAGCCTTGTATTTTCAATTCCTGGGAAGTCTGAATTCACTGTCAGAAAGATGATGGATTCCCATTATGCAGTGCTCTCCATCATGAATTCTAATAACACACAGGATAAGAAGGGAAAGTCCTACAATGTTTTCAGGATATTTGGGGGGCAGCCTTCAATGATTGCAGTGCCCACCCAGATCAACGTCTTTGGTCTGCCCTGTGTAAGTTGGGCCACGGGCAGTACTTGAGCCCCAGTGAAAAAATTATACAATTTATATGATCTTATAAATTCAGGCTCAAAAGAAAAGACCACATCCTGGGAGTCAGGATCCCTGGGCCCTAGTCGTAACTCTGCTCTTTCCCATTTAACCATTAGAGATTGAACTAAATGGTTTTGGTGTCCTTTCCAATTCAAACATTCCCAGGTTCCATTTGTATTCCTTTTTACTCACTGTAAGCTTCCTGTGGTTACAGAGCCTAAGGCTCTGGGGGACAGCCTAGGATAAGGATTCACTTGCATTCACACTACTCTGCTAAAAATTTCCTTCTACAAGAATAATTTATTGGCTTAGGCCTTGAGACCAGTTTCACCAGATCTGGTTTCTAGAAAGATTCGGTTCCTGTTTCTTTTTGGCTTCTGACTAAAGCTTGGGCGGAAGCAGGATGGTCCTGAGGGCAGTTTGCTAGGAAGGGACCCCCTCCTCCCAACTCACACCATATTGGGTAAGTTCAGCTACCTACACATTTTCTGCCCTATCAATTAAAGTACTCTAATTTTTAAAAATACCTTTATTTTTATTTATTTTTATGTGGTGCTGAGGATCAAACCCAGTGCCTCACACATGCTAGGCAAGCACTCTACCATTCAGACACAACCCCAGCCCAGTACTCTACTTTTTGACAAGAATCTTCTGGAGATAATGTCTAAAAGAGTCATTAGTGGTATCTATTTTGAGCCCATAGCAGGTACATGAAAAAACATTAGGAGCCAAATCATTCCACCTACTAGGTTCCTTGGAGTTGCTCTCTATTCCACAAACATAGAGCATGTTGGAAAGCGTCAAGTTTGCAACAATAGCACAAAGAGGCCTCTTCTTTTAAGACTATTGTCCAAGCTGTTGCTTAAAGCAACTAAAATTCAATGAAGTCTCCAATTTTTGATGCTCTCTGCCATGGTCATTCTTGTGGTGGGAAATGAGAGAGAAGGGAAGAGAATTGACAAGGGAAGCAGTCTGACAATGCTAGGGATACACATTGTAGACATATTTATTTAGTCACTCAGTGCTGGAGGAGAAAGAAAACTGAGTCCTTGTGTATTAGACCTTAGGTTATAGCCCCTGGGTTATAGACCCATATTTGTAACTCATTAACTCTGTGACCTTGAACAATCATACACAGCATGTCTAAGCCTCAGTCACCACATAAAATGGAGGGATAGAGGGGAAAGGCAGATAGGCGTGCACCCAAGGAGCTATGTCACTTTATAGAATCTGACAAGTGATTTAACAAAGTGCCATCAGAAGAGTAAATAAGAAAGACTTGATTATTCCAGAGTGAGGGACAAGGAAGCATTGAAAATTAGAAAGGTTCACAGAAGAATACAATTTTGGCTATATCTTAAAGGATAGAGAGAAACGATGGTGCTCCTTGGCTTTAAAAATCCTTCCCTGGCAAGATCTAGCAAAATTAGTTGCTCTGTATCTTGCCCTCTTCTAGTCTCAAAACAAAGCAAAAAAAAAAAAAAAAAAACTTGTCCGCATTGCTCCTGGGAGGAAAAAAAAACCTGCCAAAATTAAGGACTGTTTTTGATCCCTTACTGTCTTCCCAGGGCAAGGAAGCAAATAATTTCCCCAGAACTGTGAGTTGAATAAATGAAAGTCAGTGCATAAGTAAAAGAAGGAGTCCTCATGGCTCTAAGTCCCCACATTCCTTAGCTTCTTTTACCTCCATGAAGAAATTGAGAAGCACCCCTCCCTTTACATTGAGTTCCATCTCCCAGCTAACTCACTCCCACCTTCTTTTGGAAGCCTTTCAAGAAGAGGCCTCAGGGACAATTGCAAAGCTATGGCCACTTCCTGTGCAAGAGACAAGTGTCCACATGTTCACCACAACCCTGGTGATTGCTCTGCATAGGATTGCACTGGGGCTTCCTCTGAGAGGAAACCCAAAAGCTAATGCAATATGTAGGGCACCCTCAGGCCAGGATTGAAGAACTAGCACACCTGAGTCTTGTGATAGAGGTTACACTGTGAGGCTCCCTGAAAAGCTGGTGATATTGACAAGAAAGGTGGCAGCAGTTAACCCACTAACTACAGATCAACTTTATTCAACAAGGATGTGTTGAGAAGCTACTGGCTACAAAGCTCTGTTTGGAACCAAGGGGAAAATTAAATATACAACAGAGCAGAAATATACAATAATTTAATAGAAATATAACATGAGCCACAAATATTTTAATAGCCACATTCGAATTTTTTCAAATAGATATGTGAATTTAATTTTAATAATGTATTTTACTTGTCCCAACGCTTCCAAAATGTTATTTCAACCTATGAACAATATAAGTATTTACTAATGAGATTTTTTAAATTCACAGTACATCTCAATTTGGACTAGTCACATTTTCAGTATTCAATTGCCATATGTGGCTAGTGGCTACCGTATCAGATGAACGTGTATAATATGTGGTCCCTGCCTGCTAGTAATTTACAGTCTAATCCAGGCCCCAGACTGTTCCATAGGTACACAGGAGGAAGGAGTACAATAGTGGATTTCATGTATGAAAAAGAACTGCGCCAGGAGTCACGAGATCCAAGCTGCAATCTTTTCTCTGACACTTGATTCTCTGTGTGAGCAAAACCCTTTCCTTTTCTGAACCTTCATATTTCCATCTCTTAAATGAGTCTGGATTAGATTCATTCATTGAACAAATTATATATTGACTGTTATTCTAAGTCAGGCATGTTGTAAGGCACTCCAGATAGAGAAGTGAAGAAGACAGATAAAATGTCCAACTTCTTGGTAATTACAGTGTGATGGAAAATAGCTATTAAATGAATATTTACCAGGAAGTGTGACCTAAAAAAGGGAAATGCTAGAGAGCTGGGAGAACATATAACAATGGAATATACTCCCCTAGGCTTGGATAGATAAAGGAAACTTCTCAGAGGAAGTGACTTTTCAGGTGAAACTTAAAAATGAAAATCAGTGAGCCAAATGAATAATAGGCAAGAAGCAATTCTAGGCAAAAGAAACAGCATGTGAAAAGGCCCTGAGATTGGAAACAATGTGATATACTCCAGGAAGATAAGGAGGCTGATATGGCTTGTACAAAGAAAAGAATAGCACAAAGAAAGGTAGGAAAGTTATATAGGGAGCTCTGTTATAATTTAGATATGAGGGTTTTCCCCCAAACTCATGTGTTAGAAAATGCAGGAAAGTTTAAAGGTGAAATGATTGGGTTGTGACAGTCTTAACCTAATAAGCGTGGGTCTCTGAGGGAATGTCTTCTGGAGTATATGGTGTGCATATGCATTGTCCTTGTTGAATGCTTCTTGGAACCATGTTCTGAGCTGTATTCCTTCGTCATGCTCTTCTGCCATGATATCCTGCCTCACTTTGAGCCCAGAGCACTGGAATTGGCCATCTATGGACTGAGACCACTGAAATAGTGAGCCCTAAATAATTTTTTCTTCCTCTAAAATTGGTTTTGTTAGATCTTTTGGTCACAGCAGCAAACAAGGTGACTAAAATAGGCCAACTGTGGAAGACCTGGTAAGCTATGTTGAGAATTTTGGACTTACCCAATGAGATCTGAGGAGCCAGAAAGAGCATAGGTAGTACAGTACCCTTCTATATCCAAACC